CTCCTGCCTCCGCCTCCCAAGTAGCTGGGACCACAGGCGCCTGCCACAACACCTGGCTATTTTTTGGTTGCAGCCATCATTGTTGTTTGGCGGGCCTGGGCTGGATTCAAACCCGCCACCTTAGATGTATGTGGTTGGCGCCTTAGCCACTTGAGCCACAGGCGCCGAGCCAGATATGGCTTGTTTTTTGGAAATTTCTGTAAGCCTAGCCCCTGGCAGGCTCCCTGACCTAGTAGGCATCCCATCCCTTGGGGAAAACAAAATGAGAAGGAAACAGCACACACAGCTGAAAGCCTCACCTGGCCACTGATGTCTGAAATCAGCCCCAGAGGAATGAGGCACTCCGGTTCACTCGCCTGCCCGGCCTCATCTACAAACACGTGAGTAAAGTGTCCAACCCTAGAGCCAAAGAGTGGTGATCTCTGTCAAAGCTATTTAGTGACTGGCACCTGTGGCGCTACTGGCAAGGCCACAGTGGACACCATGTATCCCAGGGGGATGTGGGGGTTGGGGAGTGGGAGGGCAGCAGGCCTGGGAGTCACCAGGCCCTCGAGCACTATAGGCCTGACTGGTGACATTTGCTGCCCTCACGGTAGCTGGTGCCCTGCAGGTTTAGAGAGGAAGCTGGTGCCCTCTCACAGGTTTGGAGAGGAAGAGGGTGAGGGTGCTTCTGAGCATAGCTCAGAGCACCTCTTGGGTGGCTCATCGCACAGGGTTCCCAGTGCACTCTCTACTTCAACATCAGGTTTCCAGAGATAAAGAAAATGCCCAGAGGGCAGCACCTGTAGCTCAGTGGCTAGGGCATACACCCAGGCTGGCAGCTTCGAACCCAGCCCAGGCCTGCTAAAACACTGACAACAGCAACAACAAAAAAAATAGCTGTGGTGGGCATTGTGGTGGGTGTCTGTAGTCCCAGCTACTTGGAAGGCTGAGGCAGAGAATTATGCCCAGGAGTTTGAGGTTGCTGTGAGCTGTGACAGCTTGAAACTCTGTCTCAAAAAAAAAAAAAAAAAAGAAAAGAAAAGAAAATGCCCAGGTATGGGCCCTGGCTTCACCACTTCCCTGCTGTGTCCCTGGAGAGATTGCTTCACCTCTCTGTGCCTCCATGTCCCGTGTCATGTGGGATATGGCTGAGGGGAGCACGGTATGCACTGGCCCAGGCGCCACAGTAAGAACAGACCTGATTGGGCCAGTGGTCACAGATGGGCCCTCCACCTGGTCCCTTCCTCTTGACTCAGCCTTGAGAGCCGCCCTCAGCCAGGGCACTTCCCTAATCTGCCCAGGTCAGTGCTGGTTCAACCCTCTCACCAGACCCTCACCATGGCCAGCCACGAGGCAGCGTGCCTGAGGAAGCACATTTGGAGCAGACGACATGCCTGGGCCATGCTGACACCTGGCAAAGGAGCCAGGGCTGGCCCACCAGGCTACTGAGCCCAAGTTCCCCTCTCCACCCTGGACATGGAAAATTCCACCACCTAGTGCCTTGGGTGTCCCACAGGAGATGGGACCTGCCTCAGATAGGTTCCTGCTCCTACGCTGAGTGGTATCTTCAAAGTGCAGGCCTGGAGCTGCAAGTCCCAAGATACCAACTTCACACATGGTACCCACTGACTCCTAAAATCAGCCATTTCCCCACCTCATGTCCCAATTTCTGTTGGAAAAAATTAACATTATGTGTCTTTCCTAGAAAAGAAACATTTAAGTTTTCAATTCTGCATTAATTGCAATGATCTGAATGAAGGCACTGCTCCTGCTCCAGAGGCCCCTGGCAGCCCCAAAGGCCTCCCCAGCCTGGCCCCTCCAGGGCTCCCATTCAGCTTCTTCATATCAGTAGCCTTCCCTGCTGGCCACCTCCGTCACCTCCCACCTGGAAATTAGTCCCTCAGAGTATAGCAGCCGGCTTTGCACAGAGCCCTCTGTGCCACGAGCCCCCAGCCCTGAGGTGGAGCAGAGATTTGTTCCTGCTGGGAGTTTCTTCCTCTGAGGCCCTGACCCCTGACTCTTTGGCACATGTTACACAACCTCCCTTGCTGATACCTATGGGGGCCAGCCCACTATCCAGGTGGCTCTAAGGCACCTCAGGGTGTCTAGTCAGAAATGCAAAATATAAAACACATGGCAGATTTTGAAGAGTGGAACCAAAAAAATAAGTAAAATGTCTTACCAGTCATCTTTAGTATTAAGAACATTTTGTATACACAAGAACTACTGAACATGCTGAAGGAGGAACTGCTGACACATGATGACAGCACGGCTAGCTGTGCATTGCTCCTGAGTGCTGTCTCCATGTGGTGCTGGTGGATACAGTGGGCCCACTGTGGAGGCAGGTGGGGGCTGCAGGGTATTGGAGGCTCAGGGGAGGCCCTGGTGGTCCTCATCACAAAACTGGGACACTGTCCTAGGGTGGCCTGGCCAGAAGCTGCAGAGTCTGTCTAGATTCTGTCTGAGAGGATAAGGCCTCCTCTGAGGATCCTCCATCTCCCTCTCACTGTCAGCCCACCATACCTCTCCCATGGCCCAAGAGTGCTTTGATCCCCTGCTCAGCATCCCCTGGGCGTGTAGCCTTCCTCTCAGCTCCCAGGGGGTGTCCACTCATGGTGACACCCTCACTACTCACTCCTGCTCAGAAGCCCTTCCCCAGACCTTGGGCATTAGGTCTCTCTGTCCTGTTCCTTTTCTCCTGATCCTGCTCACTGGTCTCCAGCGCTGCAGCCTTCTTTAGGTGACACGCTCAGCCTCTAGACACAGGAACTTTGCACGTGCACACCCATACCCACCTGCCTGCCTGTCCCACTGTTGGGTCCTTCGTATCTTTGGGGTCTCAGCACAATCACCATATCCTTGCCCCACCTGGACAATGGTTCCCTCCCTCTAGCCACTCTCACCCTAAAGCCCTGCTCCATCCTGCAATATGTCTATCATCAGCTTCCCCTAAGACAGAAGCCTGGAGAGGACACAGACCTTATTCTGGGCGATGCCCTGCCCACTCTGATGCTAAGACACTTACCTCACTCCTATCTGGTAAAAAAGCCCAGCGCTGCTGCAGGTTGTGATTATTATGCGGAAGCGTGAAGCCTTCCAGATGTCTTCTCCATCCTTGCAGTATGGTTTGATGGCATCAATGACTGTCTGGGAGCAAAGAGGGGACAAGTCAGTGTTTTTTTCAAAGTATTAAGTATTACTTTAAATTGGACAGAATCACAAAGCTGAGGAATTCTAAAAGATAACAATCGTCCTAGGCCCTGCGCAACGTCCATACACCTTGGCCTCCCAGGGTGCTAGGATTACAGACATGAGCCACTCTGCCTAGCCCAGTGGTTCTCAACCTGTGGGTCGTGACCCACAGGAACTATATTAAAGGGCTGCAACATTAGGAAGGTTGAGAACCACTGGCCTAGCCAATTTAATCTCTTTTTTAAGATCTTTCTCTCTTTTTTAAAGCAATACTTTTATAAGTAAACTAGAAATTTCTAATTTCCTTAAAGGGATATTTATAACCAAACCAATAAAACAGAACTAAAAAGAAACAATACATTTAGGGATTAAATAACAGAAGAACATGAGAATTTAACAAAGCTAAAAATGCCCACAGAGTGTGTGAGATGAAATAAAATATTCAGGAATAAAACTCTCGCATTTGGCAGAGTCATGGTGCACGGCAGAGCAGTTTCTCAAATGACCTTGTGTGGTTCCTCCCCTTGGCTTGTCTTGCTCTCTGGAGATGGTCCTAGTGATGGCCCCCCCACTCACCTCCTCAAATCTGCAGGTGGCATTCACGCGGACCATGGCCGCTGGCCTCAGTACCTTGCTTTCATGCAGCCGCAAACATACAAGGTCAGCAGCGCTGTTTGAGGGTGCACAGACCAAAATCCGACTGTCTGGCAAAGCAAAATGTACCTTTAATCCAAGACACAAGAGAGATCAAGGGTTATAAACATTGACCCTGCAGAGTGGAAACCGTAAGTCAAATGCCCCACTGCATAGGCTCATTTACAGGGACTTGGCTACGTGGCTACGGTGTAGATCCAGATGTCTCCGAGACACTGGCCCACGTGAAGTCAAAAGGACAGTCAGCTTCATCACTCTGCTGCCGACACCTGAGCTGGGGTGGGAAGTTCTCTGAGCCCTCCAAGACTCTAAACCACTTCCTAAGACAGAAGCCCAATCAGATTTACTCTCACACACACTGGGCAGCGCAGGCACATCCCACAGTACTGAATGCTATGGGCCGTTGACTTAGGACAATGTGAGAGCAACATGCATTCAGTGCTCCTTGACTGACGATGGGACCGCTGTTGTGCTATGTCCATCATGAGTTGAGGAGCACAGGGCACAGTATTTTCCATAAATTTCAAATATAAATGGAGTTGCCCAAAATGTCTGCAGAATAGAGGCTTTGGCTACTATGTAACTTCTCTGTGGCAACATTTCAATGAAATAGTTTACTACTCTAAAAACGACATTTTCTTCTGAATCTCTGAAATATGTCTTTAAAATCTACGTATATTAAAAAAACCCTTAACTAAGTATTATGAAATCACTGAGATTTCTCAAGCTCCTTACAATTTCTAATCCTGCTATTTAAACTCCTGCTTCCTCAAGACACAGGCACACTCTGTAGCAGGAACCATAGCGCTCACAGCGCTGCCTTACCTGCAGGACAGCCTCTATTATTGTGACCGTCTTTCCAGTCCCAGGAGGTCCAAAGAGAACATACGGGAGCGGGCGGCAATCCCCACTCAGAATCCTTCTAACTGCTAACTTCTGATTTTCATTTAGCACTGGATTGAAAAATTCCTTCTCTTTTGCTTTAGCGGCTGGAATTTCATTGACTGTATTCAAAGTGGAGAGACAGTTTCAGTTAAGTGCAGCTGTGGCACACATCCTTGCCTGGGCCAGGCATCAGGATAGCGAGTTAAAGGCTAAAGCAGAGTAGCCTTTCAGGGTGGCCACACAATGAGGAGAACCATGCCCTCCCTTTGATAACTTAGCTTTCTGAGAGGGAAAAAACTGGTCATTCAATATACAGTTCTGCCTTCTATATGCAGTAGAGACATGATTTTAAAATGTTTATATCTCAAAAGAGAACATGACAAAAAAAGTCCACACTCTAAGTCTTTTCAAAGTATCTATCCTAAAACTCTGAGTCTGTAGCCAAGGTGAGACCACACCTCTCCCCTGACTGCTGTTACTGCCATGTGACAGCTTTCTCCTGTCAAGTAAAATAAAAAATAAATGGATCCCCGCTTGACCAAGGGAACCCTGAAAGGCCCTAAAGCTGAATAGATGGCCCCAAGGAGGGAGGTTGGACATGCCAGGCAGGGCCCTCCAACTGTTCCCAGCCTCACAGACACATACCCAGAGTGCTCGTCTCCACAGTCAGCGCCTCCACCCCAGGCAGGTCCTGGCCACCAGCACACTTCTTTGTTCCATGTTTACTTTGGTCCTTTATGGTTTTCCTGCTCTAGAAATTATCATGCAAAAAAATGGTTAAAAGATAAGTTTTGTGTTTACACTGGTTTAAAGAGCAAACATAAATGTCTACTTATTATACTTAACATCCACTTATCAGCTCTACAGATGGGTCACAGGTCAGACCCTTTGAAACATAACGAGAATATAAAGTATCTGACAAAAATTTGCTACAAAGGGCTATGCTTCTTTTGCACTTGCTTTTAAACAAAAACTAATTTTTGTGATTATGAAACCAAAATAAAGGACTATTACTTTATTTTATTAATGTGTCTTCTCTAGGCACATCCTTCCTGCTGGCCCATCTCAGGGTCCCCTTCCCTGCTCTCCACAGAACCTCATATACCTTTCAGAGAGTGCAAAGCACCAGCACTGCCTATCAACTACATTCAAGATTCTGCACAACAGCTTGGCGCCTGTGGCTCAAGTGGCTAAGGCGCTAGCCACATACACCTAAGGTGGGAGGTTTGAATCCAGCCCCGGCCAGCCAAACAACGATGGCTGCAACTGAAAAAAAATAACCAGGCATTGTAGCGGGCACCTATGGTCCCAGCTACTTGGGAGGCTGAGGCAGAAGACTCGCTTTAGCCCAGGAGTTGGAGGTTGCTGTGAGCTGTGATGCCACAGCACTCTACCCAGGGGGACAGCTTGAGGCTGTTTCAAAAAAAAAAAAATTCTGCACAAGAACTGGCTTTCTGTCTTTAGACATAAATATAATTTTTTCCTGGACCAACTCAATTTTTGATTTTTCCATTACAATGCTATAATTCACAGCTTTACATGTGTATCTTGGTGTAATCACTTGCTTTCATAGGATAAATTCTAGAATCTGTAAAATTGCTACACCAAGAAGTCTTCACATTAAAAATTTCCATGTACTGCCAAATTTTAGTCCAGAAGCAACATACCTCCTATTACTGTCCTGTGAGCTTTGTGGAATGTAACTTGGAACAAGGCATATGTACTTAAAGTGTGTATGATGAGCAGACCCATCCATCTGGAAGTTTCCTGTGCCCACGTGACAGGACCCTGCTGTCACCATGACCAGTTTTCATGCCCTAGAACTTCACACAGAAGTCCTGCTCTTCTTGGTCTTCTTTCAGGCAGTGTAACAGATTGTCTAGGACCCATCTGTGCTGTGCACATCTGGCTCGTCCCCTCACTGCAGAACAGGGTTCCACTGAACACCACAATCTGCTTGTCCATCTCCTGCTGATGAAGACTGGATGTTTCCAGTTTTTGACAATTACAAAGGAAGCTATGAACTTCACATATGAGCCTTTTGCTGTCTATGTTTTTCTCTCTCTAGGGTACACCGCTAGGAAAGAAACAGCTGGAGCATGTGGAAGGTGCATCTTCAGCTTCCCTAAGTGGTGCCTCTCTCCAGCCCCACCAGCAGGGCGCAAGTTCCAGTGGCTCCACACACTTGCCAAAACTCACATGGTCCATCTTAAATTCTGGCCATTCTAACAGGTATATAATTCCATTTCATTGTGGTCTTGTATTTCTCTAACAACTAATGATGAACATCTTTTCACAAGTTTATTACCATTTGTATACATTCTTTGGTAAAGTATTCACATCTCTGGTCCATTTTGAAAAAACAGTTTTCTCATTTTGTTTGCAGAGTATTCTAATATATAGTCTGGATACAGGTTCTTTATCAGATACATGATCTGCAAATATTTTCTCACTCTTTTTATTACCTTTTTTTATTTTGAGACAGAGCCTCAAGCTGTCGCCCTGGGTAGAGTGCTATGGCATCACGGCTCACAGCAACCTCCAACTCCTGGGCTAAAGTGAGTCTCCTGCCTC